AAAAAAAAAAAAAAAAAAAAGAAGAAAATAAGATACCATGAATTCAGCTTTTTCTGGTGCCTCCCACTACTCAGCTCTTTTCTCTCCTCTCACTTTGTAAAAATACCCGTTTTTGGACGAGGACTTTTTGCTCAGAGGCAGAGCTTGTGCTTAACATGTGCAAGGCCCTGGGTCCAAAAAGTAAAATTAAAAAATCCTTTTCTTCTGCAGAATTTAAATGAAAACCAATCAATCAATAAACCAAGCACTCCTTATGAGCTTTAATGTAACAAGAAAAGGTTATCACTAGCTGTAGGGGACCCAGAAAACTGGTATTATGGAGGAAAACAGATGGAATGGAGGAAGGGAGCGAGGGAGAACAGGAGACAAATGAGAGGCAGGAACAGAAAAGCAGCTCCTGGACAGCAAGCGTGAGACTGAGCGAAGTGCCCGGGAGACGCGGATGTGGCAGAGAAAGATGGATGGAGATGCTGACAGCAACGCCCGGCTCTGAGCAGAGGAGTAGCTGAGGGGCCGGAGTGGGGAAGGAGACCAAGGACAGCACTGTCAAGCGGGCAGGGACAGGAAGGAAGTGGTTCGGAGCTAATGCACAGTGAAACACGTCCCCCTGGAGACACATCATTTCTCTAGCCGTACATAATGAACACGCGCTTCTCTGTGCTGCCCTGTACTATCACAGTCACTTACCTTCTGAAAGGATCTCTCCATGTCTACACCACTCACACAAGCCCCTTCAGCTAGGCTGAAGACAGAAAAGCAGAAAGCTCTCCGTAAGGACAACAGGGTAAATGAAACAGGACTACAGATCTGGTACCTTTTGTTGTGGTGGTTTCTCTGTGCTGGGGATTGAACCCATGGCCTTCTCTGAGCTACATCCACAGCCCTTTCTTTACTTTTTGTTTTGAAGGAGGGGAGTTCTGCTAAGTCACTAAATTGCCCAGGCTGTGTTTGAAATCGTGACCCTCCTGCCTCAGCCTCCTGGACAGTTAGGATTATAGGTATGTACCACCATGCTGAGCTCTGATTCGGTACCTTTGAACATTTTATTTTTAGGGCCACTAAGACACTTTCTCTCCCATTATGTCCATATCCCCTGGCCACACACAGCATACATATAGAACTCATCCCCTTTTTTTCCGTACACACCCACAGGTCAGGGCAAAGGCTGTTCAAGTGGGGAAGGGGGAGCCATGATCTCCCAGGAAGACTGAGGAGTAGCATGGCATCAGGGTGAGGGGAAAGGGCTGGATCCAAGTAGAAAGGGACGCAAGCACAGGGGCCATGGTAAAGGGGTGCATGTGCAACCACACAGCATTGACCAGACCACCGTGAGCGCGGCGCCGGCTGCTTAGCAGGGCTCTTGTGGGCACCAAGGTAGGTGAGGC